CTGGACGATGGTCAAAGGCGAGCTAAAGATATTCCTTTCGACCGTTTATTTTCAATAAATTTATTTGAGCCTTACCAAAGCAGCTCTCGTGTATTATTTTTCCAAGGAACGAACAACAGACTGTAGTTAAAAAGTAAATATTCAGTGCAACAAGTCGGAAAACGCTGAAGCATTACCAGACATATGCCTTGTTTCTTCTATAAACCGTGCACCGAAACATCGCTATAATGAAAGCACAAACAGGCGGCAGATGCCTCCGATTGGGCCCATGTAAACTGAATACCTTATCGGAACAGTTGCTGCGTCAAAACAACAATTCTAGCAAAAAGAAAGATGCTGAACGCGGGGTGACACCGTTCCATTTTGTAGACATTTCCCTGAAAGACATTGTGTGACAGCCCCGACACCTGCAACGTGAGCAATAGGTTATGGTTTCGAACTTTATGTGTTTTTCCAATGTCCAAGACAGCGTCGGTTGCCATCAGATGAAATGATCGAGTGAAGGACATCAAATGTGTATGCAAAAGTGCATGAAATGCAACAGAGGAAACATTGATTACATATGTCATCTTGTTTAACAAACATGAAGAATATATTTTACAGGATCCAGATTTAACAAGGGCCTGCGTGAATAACCGGCGAATAACCGAAAAGGACCTACATGCACTGCATAGCCCAAGTTTTTGTTTTGTGCTGCTAATGTCACCATAACAAACAAGCTAAACTGGTGTCGTTTGCAAAACTCGGTCACATCCATGAACCAACAGGTGAGGTTAACCCATCAACGTCCATCGCTTGGAGGAGAAAGGATCGAAATGGCGCCCCGCTCTTGAAGACAGAATAAATAAACTGTACGCGGCAGCTCCGCCTACGCTCTGCCGCGTCCTATTAGTTTCCACTTATTTAGACTTTCAGCGCCGCCATGTAACTCTCTCCAATCAGGGAACAAATAACGCTGTTTTTATTTCCCTCTCACCCCATACGGCCAGTGTTAATGCCAAAACACAAGGCGGTATGCGGCATAAAACGCGAGTGGCTGGCCGAAAATATCGCACATGAATTACGAGGGCAACGCAACTTGTTACGCGCCGACAGAACGTGCATTTTTAGTGAACGGCTGAAAAACATTAAGCATTACTTAAGATCTGTGGGCACGCTCAAGGACGCGGGAGCCGGGGGCGGAGGGGGAAGAGTGAGCAGCTCGCCCCCCCCCCCCCCCCCACTACCTTGAGAGATGGTGGCGGCGTCCCCCAACTTGGACGGCATGTGGAGGGTTTATTCTGGTATGCTAAGGTCCATTCTGGGCTGTAAAATGATTATGTAAGCCTATAAAAGTACGTTCTAATCTGGCGAGGGCTCAAGTGTCCATTCTGACCAAAAGAGGACAATTCTGAGCCTGCGGAGGGCCCATTCTAATCCGAAAAAGGTCCTAATGGACTCCCTTGCTCAACTGGGAGTTTCTGGTGCTCATTTCAATTTTTTCTTGATAATAGAAACCGCATTATTATCTTCCGCAGACTTCTTAAGAGCTGATATAGCTAACTGACCTAAAATGGCCCAGGTCCATGTCTTTTTTAGGAATATGCTGTCTAGCGTAATTTTTGACACTTATTCACGTGCAAAACTCAAAGCGGTCTTTTATGAGTTTAGTCACCATGACCTGCGAAAGGCCAACCAAGATCATTGACATTGAATAAACATCAATGACCTTTTGCTTACAACAGGTACTCAGGCTCTGGGGGTACTTTGGATGCCAATCTGGAGTTGGACCTTGTTTGACCTTATTTGACCCAAAGGTCATGTCCTGGGAACTCCAAATTTTGACACAAGTGAGTTCACATACAGGCTAACGCACCCTATAAGCTTATTATTTCTAGCTTTCTTAGTTGCGGAGATCTGAGGGGGTCAAATTGACCCCACCACCCGAGCGAAGGGTATTCAACCGGCCACCCGGGCGCATGTTAATGAGTGTGTTTTTCAAAGGGAGCGTCCCACGTTTGAAACACGTTTCGAAAGCAGCCCAGAATCAAATCAAATCAAACTGAAAATCAACCAGAAATCAAGCTGGAACTGTTCTAAACAAAGCTATGCAAATAATTCAGTCTGCACCAAAGCTGTTATCCTGGTGGTCGTTATGGCAATATTTCGAACTAGAGATGCTTGAGCACGAAAAGCCACGTCACTCAGGCGATCTCCTAGCGTAGCGTCGCTTGCCGCTCTGGAGGCGGTAGCAGCCGGCACCGAAGAGACTCCAGCCGGGCAGGCAGGGCCTGACCTCGGGCCACCGCCGCCGCCTGCGGCTGACCTGACCAGGACATGGGCATTGCGGTCGCGCACGCGTCGGGAGAGGGCCCGCACGCATCGCCGGCCGCGCCGCAGCTGGCGTGGGCTCACGATTCGCGAGTGGCGAAACAGCCGGCCGGAGACGGGGCCGCCGACACGGACACCGGCAGAGGGCAGAAAGATCCGACCCGCTGGCGAGAGCGTCGCGGTCGGCCAGCGTCGACGCCGCGCGAAGAGCCGGCCGCGCGTGGTGCGACTGTACGGCTGTTGGCTGTTCCGGAAGTGTTGGCCCCGATGTTGCCGCGTAATGATCTGTTCTACCAGGCGTCAGCGCGTCAAGCGAAGGCTGCCGCTGGTAGCCTTAAGGCGGTCTGTGCTGCGTAGGTGACCGACGCTATAGCTGGGGGCTGGCAGCTGGTGGGCGTCCGCAGCGACGATGTGGCGGTGTATCTCGATTTCAACACGGTTCCTACGATACACCAACATAGTTGACTAAACAGCGCCTGTCATGTTTGGGAATCCAAATCTCTTGAGAGCTTCTCAACATCACTCACACTCAGAGACAGATTTAGGATTTTGTTTAGGAAGGGGCCACGCTTAAATGTGGCGCCCTCAGGAACTTGGTGCGTCCATCTTGCGAAAAGGTCACGATTTCCGGCACTCCATTTTTGGATTTTGAATTTGTTTTATCGGGGAACTATATTTCTCTAGGCATCGTGGAGGACAGGCGTAGTTCATGTACATATCGCGCGTTTTTTTCTAGAGACTGATGAATGTTGCCATTCTATGCTAGGAACTTTGGAGAAGATGCAGCAATGCGAGTTAGAGTTGGCTCCCAAATGCTATCGAAGACAACCAAGGCAACGCGACTCGAACGGCGAGGCATCGTTACCTTACGTACGACAAAACTAGCAGAAAGCTGTGTTTTGCAGGTCGCTGACGTGACAGCGTATGGTTAAAAGCGAAGCAGCAGCGTATGCATGAACTATAAACCGTAAGGGTGACATCGCTTGACGCGAATGTTGAAAGATATTTGGTGGTAGCAGAAAGCGGCGAACCCAGTGAAGTTCGTGGACCTTTGAGGAGCGACGCTATCTGGTAGCAAAACATATGGCCAGCTCCCTAGAACATAAAAATGCTTTCCATCGTCGACATGGTAATAAACAGTTTGTGCTGCGGGTTTTGAGCTACATGAAGGAGTGCATACATTAGCAAAGTTTGAGCTGATAAATGTGGCTCCAAGGACGCCTAAGTAACATCGGTTTCATATATTAAACGGGGAGGAATGTTTCATACACTGCATCACATAAAAATGCATTTTTACTGTTATTGTCCTCGAATTTCGCTGATCTCCAAAAGATGACGAAATGATCTGTCACTGACTACGTGTCTACGCGGATTAACTACACAGATGTCCTTCCGCTGCCCACTCAGTTGTAAATCATAGCTATCATACCTTTTTCGTGATGCCAAAGCGGAACGAGTCACGTGTTTGCGTATACACGTATTCAGCTACAATGAACATATCAACGTCGAATTTGCTTGTCTCGCTTTTCAGTCTTGTCCTTATTGGTCGTACTGGTTCCATTACGGACACATTCAACTATTTTTGTTGTCGCCTTACACAAATACCTGCTCCACGGCGATGGATCTCATTGTAGGCAGGCGTGGTGTAACGTAAGATGCACGTTTTTGTAGATTTCTGTCGAAAGCTATTGACGGTGCTAAAATGAAAACGAAATTGCGGACTAAGAATGAACGACCTCCTCATTGGCTCCGCCGACTTGGATCGGCCTCCGATATTTTGTCATGGGGATGCACAGACACTGCACCCAGGGGCCTGTATTTTGTACCTCAGATGTTCCAGACCTTAGACAGTGGGCACACTTTGTTCAGCCGTGCTCGAGCATCAAGAACACGCTCCACTTTACTCCGCGCAGCTGTCTGGGTTGCACTTGCTTCTCTATATCACTGCATCAATAAGTTTTTGTGTCACGATTTTGTGATGCATGTTTACCAGCATCTCCTGGCATACCAAATGTCGTCTCCGGTATTTGCGTGGCAATAGTGTCATTAGTACCCAACAAGCGGAAGTAGCAGTCCCTACGTCATCGCGTCCCTAGAGCTATGTGGTGGATCCCAACGCTGCGCAAAATTCCGTGTTAGTTATGAGCGAGCTTCTGGCACGTGGCGTGTCGAAACTGTCGCTCATCCCCATGCCCGGGAGAACGGACCAATTAGCGAACGCCAGGCAGACTTAGCTGGGCTAATGAGTGAGTCCGTCCAGCATGACAACATAACGGAGCAAACGCTGCCCGCTCACAGGCGCTCTAGACACGGCGCGGCACGGCGCGCGGGCAGATGGGGACGCGCAGCCCCGCAGCGAGACCCCGGGAATTCGGACCGCGGCGTACAGCTGCAGCCTTCCCACGATCGTCCCCGCGGCGAAGGCGCACGGGGCAGCGAGTGAAGAGGCTGGCCCGGCAGCGGGAGGGCACGCGTCACCTGACCATGCTCGCCTGCCGCATCTTGTACTCGCGCCTTACACGAGGTAACTGCAAGTAAGCGTATGTGAAACCATGGTCTCAAGCTAGGTCTATCCGCTTCATCGAGGACTCTTCAGAAGAAATGAAACGAACTAAGTGGGTGCTTCGGTAAAGCCGAACGCCGCATCTTATCGCTACATTTTGTTCCTGTCGCTTATCGACTAGACAATGTTTCCAGTTGATTCGGATTGTATTTGAGACGGGATGCATACTGCATCTTGAGTACCACAGCGTCAACCAGTGCTAAGAATAACGCCGATTTACAATAGCCCTGGAAGATCGCGGCCGTAAAATACCGCATTCACTTCGACAAAACCACAACACAGGCCAGGTACACGTCGTAAGGCAGGCTTGAGTGGCAGAGCACGGTGCCTCATCACAGACGGAAAGCGAACAAGCTAAGCTGCCGATTATGCTAACCGTACGTGCGCCATTCCATCAGTCAGCCACGGGCCGCCTTGTAATGGCAACCGTACATACAAGACAGAGTAATTTGTGTCAATGATAAAAGTGCCCTACGCGACTAGACTAATACCAAACACCGTTATCCCCGGCTGGCCTCTCGCCCCCCGAACGTTCCAGCGAACGTCGACAAGCATCAGTGACGCTTTGCAACGCCCAACAGCGAACTCGTCGATCATGTAGCCATTATCTGGTACCATCGGCGCGTATGCTGCCAGGGTACCAATACCTGATTAGTTACCCGACCTTTACTTGGCATCTGCCATAGGTCAAGTACGAACAAATGACAGGACGGGTTCATTATGAGGTAACTAGAATTAGTCTAGTGATAACGGAAGCATCCCACAACCAACCACAATTATATAACGCTCGATCGCAGCAGGATGCGTCAGCTCATCATGTGCCCAGCACATGAATGTGGCTACTCTTAACAATTATATTGTAATTCGGCGGGCATGCGATATCTATCCACATTGGATGCCCGGCTATTGTCGCAGAACACCGACCCGTAATTTTTTTGCAACTTTAAGCCTCCTGTCCAACACAGCGACATCCGTCACAGCCAGACTGTCACAGATCCGAGACAATTCGGGCGAATCTCACCGACTTCAATCTCGCCCCCAACGGACGGAACCATTGCACTCGAGCATCCAAGGCGTCGACGATTGGGCACACAGCTGATCACCCGTTATTACCCCCGCATCCCAGTGCTCCGACACCCTCCATATCGCGCATCGCCCATCTACCTCCGTCCACGTCCGCCTCCCTCGACCTCCCTGAGCACTCTCTGCACTGCACTCTCTGCGCGACGGCACCCACTCGCCACCTCCCGCCTGGCCGCGTGCAGCACGCCCCTCCCGCAGCCGTCCCCCAGCCGGACCCCTGCCCTCAGCGCCGATCTCGCCGGTAGTCGCCGCTCTGCCCGCCCGACTTCGCCTCCAGCCGTACATCACTGATCTCGATCTCCTTGCTGACCGCCTTGCACATGTCGTACACGGTGAGCGCGGCGACGGTGACGGCCGTCAGCGCCTCCATCTCGGCGCCGGTTTGGCCGGTGCAGCGCACTTCGGCGCGTACGAGCACCGCCTCGTGCGCCGCGTCCAGCGTGAGCGTCACGGCCACACGGCCCAGCGGCAGAGGGTGGCACAGCGGCACCAGCTCGGCCGTCCGCTTGGCCGCCTGGATGCCGGCCAGCTGCGCCACCACCAGCACGTCGCCCTTGGCCAGCCCGTTGGCGCGCACCAGCGCGAACGCCTCGGCACCGAGCAGGACGCGGCCGGAGGCGGCGGCGCGACGCTGCGTGAACGGCTTGCCGGCCACGTCCACCATGACGGCGCGGCCGGCGGCATCCGTGTGGGTGAGGCGCCGCGGCTCGCCGCCGTCGCAGCGGGCTTGGCCGCGGCTCAGCAGCTCGCCCACGTCCGAGGGCAGCGGGTCGCCCGGGGCCGGGCGCGGAAGCTCGCCGTCCGCGCTAGGCTCCGCGGCGGCCAGCAGCGGCTGCGAGCTGGGAGGGTGCGGGGCGTCGGGACGGGAGGCGGCTGGCCCGGACGACCCCCGCGAGGGGAAGACGGGCAGGTCGGAGGAGTCGGCCGGTCCCACATGGGGCCGGTCAGCCGACCGATCGACACCTGCGACAGGAGTGGTGCCGTAGTAGCTAGCGTATTGGTCCCAGTAATCTCGGCGGAAGGCGCCGCCGCTGCCCCCTCCGATCGGCGGCGACTTCCGCGAGGATCGCTCGGCGCCGTCACCGCCTCGCTCCTCGTCCGGCGACGCCACCGGAGGCCGCTTGGTGGCGTCGTCGCCCAGCTGGCGGACGGCGAGAAGCCGGGCGCCGCCGTTCGTCGGAAAGCGGAGGAGGGGACGAGGGACGCTGGAGCCGCGGCGCCCGAGGCGGTGGCGACCGGTGCCGGTGGGACCTGCCGACCACGCCCAGACGTCAGCGGACACAGCCGACACAGTTCCAACACCAAACAACACCCGCCGTCGCTGCCGACTGCTCAGGCACGCGTGCGTCCTCACATGCATGGCTTAGACGTGGGTGGGCTTGGCAGTGGCGGACGCGTTTCGCTCGCCACGTTCGAGCCGACATCTGCGCTAGCAGCATGGCACACTGGAGCGCGAGCCTGTTTGGCTGGCCAGTGCGGCCGCACGCCGCGCGCGTACAGTCCCATACACTCGCATTTGGGCGGCCTAATCAAGTTAGGCCGGAGCTCCGGCGGGAGCGTGGGCAGACACGAGAATGCTCCCGGGGCGAGATTGCGTCCGGATGCGCCGAAAAAAAAACAAAGGAAGAGGCGACGGGGGAATGCAGGCGGCAAACACGTGATTCGGGTAGTGCGGTGCCAATGCCCGGCTAGTGCGTCAGCCGGGGCCCTCCCCCCCCCCCCCCCCCCCACCCCAACCCAACCCAACCCCACCCAAAAAACAGCAATAGCCAGGGGGCGTCTGAGGCAGAGCCCTCACATTCAAAAGGCTGAGGGAAGCGTGGTAGTACCAATAAAAACGGCGCTTACTAAATATGAACATAAACATATAGCAGGCCAGCTGATCATGGGCGCCCTATGCATAGTAAGCAACCACGGACGGGCGATATAGTCAGAGTTGAGTTCAGAAACGTAACGAAAAGACACAGGTAGCAAACAGACAGAGCCAGGCCAGGAAACACCTCGGTCGAAGGCGAGACGGACACACGTCTAGACTAGACACAAACACTCTACACTTCTGGTTTTCGGCGTTATATGTTTTTACCTGATTCCGTTCACCATTCCCAGCCTATAAGCTCAACGGATATCTGAGTGCGTGGAAAAAAGATTCTGGCAGAAAACCACCACCCGCGCCACCGAAGGTAACGTGTTTTTGGTGCTTGTGTAGGTATGGATGGGTACGGTGTTGGATATGGAGAGGACCGTGGCGTCTCCTGCAATGACATAATCGCGGCATTTGCATAAAAAAGTCCGTGATGACCATGGGACGCGGGACGCACATGGTCATTAATGCAACTTTAATCGACTGGGCGGACGGCTCGGTATGCTAATTACAGTGGAATGCCCTTAACTGAGCAATCACAGTCGTTTGCCTGTCGCTAGACACCAGACGTCACATAGCAATGCTGTACTGTTTGATAGATTCTGTGGTAGTTGTGAACCCAGGCTGTCGGCTATCTAGACTTAAGCGCGACGTATGCGCTGTATGCGTATGCCACTGACCAGAGAATGTGCACTGCGTTCTATGCATAACCACGTGGACATCGTCTAGGTTTATGAAAGCTTCCACAGATAAGGGGTCATCCATGAATTATGTGACATATTTTTGGCGACTTTAATGTTATGTTCATTACTATATTTTGGGCAACTATTTTAAAAAGACAACCATGATTTGCATTCACACTTGTGCGCAAACTTACGAAGTGCCCCTCACCCTTGTTACACTTCGTTTACGCTCCATCAAAACCACATCTCTCCACATGTAACGTAATATATGGACGGCTCCGAACTAGATATTGCGCCATTCTTGACACACTGTCAACCCGCACTGGCGGTAGGAGGAAGGATATGTATCTGATTCCATGACAATTTCGGGAACAGCTGAAACACGGCTCACGTTATCGTCCGGCCATTTTCCAGTGTCTTCTCTTACCTTGCTTTCACGTTCCTCTAAATTTGTAAACCTAGGTCATGCAAGGTTACAATCTATGACAGCCTTAATTTCAGCACGTCGAACTGAAACGTGGATGGACTTGAGATACTCCGGCAATGCGCTGCGATGTGATCTTCATGCGGTCTTCATATATTGCTCATCAGACGATGTTACTCCTGGTCCCTCCAGTAACATGTGGCTGGCGTGGGTCACTGACCCAACTTGACCGTTAACTACAGCCCCTGGGAAGGTCTACTTTTGCATGGTGTGTCAGCTTTACTGACGTGTTTTCCAAACCATCGTTTCTCCACGCGCGGGTTACACTTTGGCCTCAAGGTAAAAAGGTCACTAAGCTTACTTGATCTGAAGGCCCGCATTTTGAAACACTGTGCACCATTGTCGGTATCTGACGGTCCTATTTTCCCTTCTGGTTCATAATTCGGCTTACTGAGTGGTTACGATAAACCAGGCGTACCATATTAGGATAGTGCCCCTTTGCCCTTGCATGACCTTGAGATCTGGCCCACATATTTTTATGTTCCTGTTTCGTTAACTGTTAGCCCGATGCATTCCTTCAATCAGCACTACATTCTTTCCGGACATTGTATTTTAACCTCAGAAAAGCCAACATAGGCCACTGACCAAGGTGAAACCGATATGCAAGCTTTGCTCAAATCTTCTCCGACACCATCCACGGGTGCCGCCAAGAAAAAGAAACAACTGGTTGGCAGGGACACTTCTGACGTAAAGAACAGCAGATTGCCTCTCTGACCCATGTTGGCCTATTCCAAAGATTCTTGGCTGACACGAATCACGTACATGTAGTCCTGATAATATAAAAACCGACTGAACAACACAATTTAATTTTTCCTTAGCACCTTGGCCATGACCCCAGACACCATGACGGTCGTGAGTCTCCTTGGGTATCGAGCCACGTTCCGTTTGTCGCTCTAGCCTTTTCTAACCCTAGCATAGATGTAGGTGCCTACTACCCACTATGTATCTAGCTACAACCTACTTACTACCTACATACCTACGACCTACCTACCACTTACCTGCCAGCTACCTACTCCTTCCCTCGACAAAGTTGGCGGGGACCGTCCTCAGCCCGAGGCCTCAACATCAACACACGCAACGAACCCATTTTCCGGAACATGGCAGGCCTTCACCTGTCGAGACAAACAACACAACACAGCCCCCAGTTGGGCAATGAACGTGCATGCAGCTGGATGCGGTGCTGATACAGGGGCCGGAGTTTGACTACCACTCTGCGTGCCAACGAAGCGCAGCGGACAGAGCTCTGGACAGAGTGAAGCCGAGCACAGCTACTCACGAAATGGCCGCCACGCACAAGCGCATTCACCCACCAATGAGGATCATCGGCCGGTTCTTCATGTGGGCCAGATCCAGCATGCCTGCAAACCACGCTCAGCTGACTGGGGCCGCGAGAGAGGTCGCCGGCGGACACCGGGTTGGCACGCAGTGAGGTCAAGACAAGAGCAGTCGTAGAAGAGGTGAATATGGCGAAGAGACGGCATCGTGAAGGGCGTTCGTGAGGGACGCGTGTTGCAAGCCAGCATCCAGCTGATGGGACTGAGTTAGAATGAGGGGCGCTTGCGGGTCCACAGACCATGTCACGTGCGAGGCCCCCGCAAACCTAGAATACGAGCGCCACAATCTGAAGAGTGCACGGAAAAATAGCTTGCACGCCGAAACCATCTCATCCACGACGGTAATACTCTCATGGAAAAGAACACCACACCTAAAGCATTAGCTTAGTAACTGGGGAGTGAAAACATTAGAAAAAATTAAAATGTGTCGGAGCAAATAAGTCACTAAAACTAGTAAATCACTCATGAAATCGTGCATTTCCTCTGCCGGCTCTCCGTGCCAACGCCCATCGCTGTGCTGCCATATCCCTGGACATCTCTATTGGCTGTCAACGCCGCCGCTGCCGCTGCCACCGCCAGATCGGCGCAGCACTCCCGCTGACAGGCGAGGCAGCCAACAAACACCCACCGATTACACAACAGAGAGTGCACTCGCGACCGGCACTTCAAGGCCCACCGACAAGTTTATTCAGTTGACCAGGTAAAAGGCCCCGTCAGGGTCGATGTCTTTGCAAACGACTGTTTGGCCGCAGCCGCCATTACCTGCGTGCTGTTTCTTTTTCCGCCCGACGGAAGCTCCGATGAGACGCATCAGCTCTTCTTCGGACATTCCGCCACGCAAAGCGTCTCTGTAACCATGGAAAACACAATCAGATTTCCGCTGACATCCCGCCGCTCTAAGGGTTCCTATCGCCATGACAACAAAACATCAGCTCCTCCTCTGACGTCCCACCGTGCACAGCATCCCAATAACCCAATTAACAAGGGGGGGGGGGGCAAAACGGCCGACCAAACCTGCTGACAGACCCATGCTTTGAGCCTATGGCACAGATCAGCATGAAAGTAAGGGTTTGGTGTCGGTTTAGTGCCGGCATGGTAAGAGTTTGGTGCTGATCATTCCTATATGCTCGGAGCATGGGGCTGTCTGCAAACTAATTCCAGGTGGTTTCGACCGTTTTTGTTACCTTTGACCCAACCCAAGGCCATCACGTTCCGGAGAGGTTAGGTTATCGACTATGGGAAATCGATTGGTAAAGGTTTGGTGTTGATCTTTCTCGTAGGCTCAGAGCATGGGGTTATCTCTTAACTAATTTCAGGTGGCTTTGGCCGCTTTGGTGACCTTTCGCCTTACTTAAGGTCACCGTGTTCTGAAAAGAATTGAATATTGACTATGGTACATCGATTGGTTTCATGCTTATCAGCCCCATAGGTTCGGAGCGTGGGGTTGTCTGCAAACCCTTTTTTCGGTTTGCTGTATTTCTGGTGACCTTTGACTTGACCCAATGTCACCACGTTCTGGAAATGATGGGTTATCGGCTAAGCGGCATCGAATGGTGAAGGCTTCATGTCGATAGGTGCCATAGGCTCTGGGCATGGGGCTGTTAACATCGGTTTGGTCGGCCGCTTAGTCCCCCCCCCCCCCCCCCCAGTTAACAAACGTCAGACACTCCTCTGGCATCATGCCAAACGTGGCGTCCCTCTAAAATCTGTAACCATGGCAACATCCAATAACGTTGGGCCCGCCAGAACGCACGGGAAGCAGCTTTCGCGGCAAAGCCTTCAGAGACGTCACCACCGTCGTGTTCTCATCAGCACTTAAACCGCGGGGCAGCACCGGGAAATGGCCAAATCTAGGCATCCGGCAGTGAGGGCTGCGCTATTCTTGGCGAGCGGGTGGAAATGACCGGTTAAAGGTCAGCTGGACCGGCGCGTGGGGCCGCGCTCCGGTCCCAGCCTCGTCTCTAAAGGTGGATGTTATGCATTACCCGAACTACCACCGGGAATTACTACACAGGCGTCTAATGCAGACATACCATGTGACTTCCAAAAGATTACGTAGTTTTGCGTAGCAAAATATTAAGTAGGCATGGAAGCTGCATATTTTTGTGTGAAACCAAAAACTATTTCGTGTGTGAAGCATTTTTGAATGAACTGGAATCTCTGACACCCCCCCCCCCCCCGCCCCCCCTCCCAACGATACTTTAACATTCGAGCGATTTCAGGGGATGGAATTGCCCTTTATATTCCTAAAACATCTTACCTCGCTACACAGAACTAAATGCACCTACACGACTTCGTGAAAAGATTTCGTGAACAGAGTAGATAATATAAATGACGTGATAAATTGCATATCAACTATCAAAGATAAAACACTACAGCACCAACTGAACGCTGTGGCGGCAGGAGGTCAACACTCAGTCGTGTGGGTCACCAATAGGTGGCGCCAACGAGGGCTGTTGTGTGTGTGGCATTGTGCGTCGGGTGAGAACTGTGTGCGTCCCCATAGCTTCGCTGCTCTGTCAATGTTAGGTCATGCTATTAGTGATATGCCTACCACAGAACGGTTGACAGTATAACCAGTGTTTGGCCGCTATTGGCACAATGACTACCGGAACTAGGCGGATGTTTGCTACTGTCAAGTGAGGTAGTCGAACCGAGCCATACCGTTAATATCACATCCGTCCCTCTTATCCTCTATCTTGCTTCATCCTATATCCTCCCACACCTCGATTGTCCGGGGCAGGTTGCATACGTCAGCCGCGAGTGGGCCGAGAGCCCCGCGGGAAGCGGAACCCCGACCGGGTACCCAGCGCGCATGCGCGGGTTAAAGCCCGCCGGTTGGCCCCCCAGGCGCAAGCGACTCTGCTCCACCGTTAACCATTTTCCTCCATACCATGGCCCGGAAATGATCATCTCTGGTCGAAAGGGCTCTAATCCAAAAAACCAACTATCGTTAATATTTTTGTGCAATCTGACAGCGCAGTGGTCTTTGCTCTTCGACATCCGTCCCTCTCCGGACGCGCTTCCCTGGACGTGCATGCCGGCACCCAAGTTTCAAACCGGACCAGCACGACCAACGCAGCAGTGCCAGTCCCGGCCACTCGGCCGCAACCAGCCGGTTGACAGCCCGAGTCCTGAGGTGCGGGTGATTACGCTTGTGTCGTACCGCACGGGCGCTCGGGTTGTTAACTGAAGAGAACAAAGGGCAACTACTGACACATTATCTCTTTCGCCGCCGAATACAGTGACGTGCGCGGCAACGCTACAAAAAGGAAATCACCAACACAGGCATCTGATATCACCTATCATATCATATATCAGTGCGACGCCACATCACCACGAAAGCCACCTGTGGAATGCGTCAAATCAGCACACTGAAATGACCCAACAGGGTACGGAGCGGCAAGCCTACCCACCGCCATACTTCCTGCACATACCCACACTGATAGAGCCTTTACGACCCTCAGACGCCCTGCGTTACCCGGTCGCGACGCGATTTGATTCCCAAGCACGACGGAGGATTGCGCCGCTGGTCTGAAAACATCCGCCGAGCTTTACCCAGAAGCTCTCTTCACAGCGCTACGCTCGTCCAATGCACGTCGCCGACACCTGACCCTGCATCTGATATGGCCGGCACAAGGACCGTCGCAGGCGTCACCAGAGCGAACGCAGCGCGCTCATCCCAGATCAATACACTGACAGAGCTGGCAACCCGGCGACCTCAACAACAGAGAGGGCTTCGGCAGAACTGAGCCTGGTCGCCCCGCGTGATATTGGGAACGGTGGGTGTTCTGGCGGGGAGGAGTTCATCCAGTCAACACGCTGCGAGCGCTATTGGAAGGCATCCCGGCCCAATGAGGACCATGCACATGACCATAATTTTTATCAGCGGGTGGGGAGTCACCTTTTCTTTGGACTTATGCGCATCTGGACCTAGTTTAAGCAAAATTGTCCGGCATCTTCTGTAAACATCTTAGCTGGTCAGGGGGGGGGGACGAGCTCCCCCCTAGCTACGTTCCTGGCCAGAAGGGCCAAGCCATGAGAGGTACACATCACTTTATACAATGCATCACCCGGCTTGACAAACACAATAACCATAGACCGTCATGCCTATGAATGACAAGATGTAGCAGTATCACGGATCGGATCTTATCACCAGCGTCGGGCACGACCGATCGCCGATGTGTGATGTGAATATCCAAACCGTCCGGCACGTGAAAGCCTGCGAGCCTCCCCCTCGCAGTGTCAGCAAATCACTAACCTGAGCGAGACCTCCGCGTTGCCGAAGAGGCAGACCTTGAGGTTGCCGTCGGCCGTCAGCCGGAGTCGGTTGCAGCTGCCGCAGAAGTGCTCCGACATGGACGTGATGAAGCCCACCTGCCCCGCCCAGCCCGGCACCTGGTACGCCTGTGAGACAGAGGTCAGGGCAGGTCAGGGACACAGCGCATGGCCGCACACACACATGGGACCCCTCGGATGGTGCAGGACGCTGGGCAGGTCGCACACTGAGCTGTCACACTAGGCAGGCCGGACACTGAGCTGTCACACTAGGCAGGCCGGACACTGAGGTGTCATGCTGGGCAGGACGGACACTGAGGTGTCACGTTGGGCAGGCCAGACACTGAGGTGTCACGTTGGGCGGGCCGGACACTGAGCCGTCACGTTAGGCAGGCCGGACACTGAGCTGTCACGCTGGGCAGGCCGGACACTAAGCTGTCATGCTGGGCAGGCCCGACACTAAGCTGTCATGCTGGGCAGGCCGGACGCTCAGCTGTCACGCTAAGCAGGCCAGACACTAAGCTGCCACGCTGGGCAGGACGGACACTAAGCTGTCATGCTGGGCAGGACGGACACTGAACTGTCACGCTGGGCAGGACGGACACTGAGCTGTCACGCTGGGCAGGACGGACACTGAGCTGTCACGCCATGGCCGATGTGTAAGACGATTGCGAGTGGTCTACGGCGGGAGGTCTTCACCTGGCTGAACGCGACAGGACAAGGCAAGGCAAGACAAGACAAGACAAGACAAGACAAGACAAGACAAGACAAGACGACACGAGACAAGACTAGATGAGACAAGACGAGACATGACACTTCGCATGTAACAAGACCGGCATTGCATCATGATACCTACAAACAATGCAAGATACAAGACGCAGTTTGAGAAATGGCAAAACTGACACTTTAAGCCAACTTTAAGCCACCTTGCCACCGGTTTTTACGAGACCGCACTGCGCGGAGCACATCGCGCACGTCGGATCCCCCACAAAACGCCTGTGCTTAATGTCTGGTAGAGCCGGGAGCAACTCAGGAATCAACAAGACTTTTCACCGAGTCAATGACGAATATACTTCCTTGAACGTCTGTGCGTATCAAGCTGGATGAGGTTGAGGCATGTTTGCTGGTACCATCAATCAGCTGACTCCACTGAAAATATAACATCAATAGTGCACTCTTTTAGTATTAAACGGCCTCGATGTGTCGTTAATATAAAAAACATACATGCCACATATTCGCAGCATACTATGTCAAAAATTAGCGTTGTATGTAGCCAATTTAACAGTTTATTACCAGTTTATTACCACTTAAAACGCCGAGAGTTGGCAGTGGCAGTGATGGAGGTGTCTGCTGAACTAAGCATCTTTATAAGCTCGTTATTTAGCCCTTTCTCGTGGAATCCCTGCACACTGACCCGAAAGGTTACGATGCTACTCGTTTCCCCATACTCGGTTATGGCGCTTTCGTTGAGTTATTCCATTACACGTCTTACTTCCGTAATAACCAGCAACGATGTCCGACTTCTTATCTTAGGTAGCGCAAAACATGATCCGTGACTGAAACTTGTGCAGCTTGCTCAACATGATTAAGAGCCGATTGACGTCCATTCTATTTGGAAATCGTGTTCACAGACGCAAGATTTGAACGGCTCGGCGGTAATATTCTTACTGGGCTTGAACGCCGCATGGCTTATAGGGTGGTGGGGTTAGAATGACGTTGCTATGGCGTCATGCTTGCCTACATGGCCTTGAAATAATCTGCACGAAATGATCTGCACATCTTCGCCGGCGTATAACTCAGAAGATGGAGGTTGTAGTTACGGCTTAAGAAAGGCGGTGCTGTGAACCGCACCAAATAATCTTCGAAATGACATTTCATGTATCATGATGTTACTGGCGTGCGCCTGAGGCCGCCCCTGCTCGCGCCGCCAGTGCTGCTGCGCTTTGGTACGCCGCTGCCCCGAATAGCGGTGTACTGCCTGGGGCGCCGCCCGCCGGGGTCGGCGCCGCCCGCTCGCTTCGCGGGATAATACAGTTGCCGTCTCGCAGCGCTCATGTATGGTCTGGGTAGACAGAACACGTAGACTTGAATATGGCGCAGCCGCATTGAACCTAGAGTAAGCTTAAGCAAGCATGAGCAGCACATTAATTTAAGCATTGTGAGTTGTGAACCAAGTCGTGATGCCTGGATTTCGTCCTCCTGAGGAATTCGACTTTACATCGCCTGAGAGGTGGCCGACCTGGCGTGATCGGTTCGTCCGCTACAGACTGGCATCGGGACTACACAAAGAGGACGGTGACGTTCAAGTAGCTGCGTTGATTTACAGCATGGGTCCGCAGGCTGAGCATATCGTACCAATATTTAAGCTTACTGCTGAGCAGAAGGAGGATTTTGAAGTTGTTGTCTCAAAGCTAGACGGGTACTTCATTCCGAAAAGGAACTTTATTGCAGAGCGTCACAACTTCGAGCTTAGATCTCAAAGCTCAAGCGAGACTAATGAATCGTACATCAGAGCTTTGTTCTCTCTAGCTGAGCATTGCAGCTTCGCTGACGCTGATGAGCGTATCAGAGATCGTCTCATCTCAGGAATGTCTGACATGGAGCTGTCCCGTAGAATTCAGCTGAAGTCACTAGAGGAGGAAGTGTCTGCAAATACCGTCATTTCGATGATGCGTAATGTCGAGATCGTGAACGGCCGTGACAGCTCTGGTCCGCCTGATATCAGTAGGGTTTGTGCACCAGCGCGGCACAGGCAGCCGCGCCAGCAGCACCAGCAGTACAGACGTCAACAGCAGCCTTCCGCCGCGCAACGGCAACAGCATAGTCAGCGTACCAACTTTTCAACAGCATGCAGATACTGTGGAAGAGCACATCATGCGTCTCCGAAAGATTGTCCTGCTAAGGGAAAAATCTGTGACAACTGTCAGAAAATGGATCATTTTACGTATGTTTGTCGCTCCAACGGTGTCAGAGCGAGTGCGCGGACAGAGTCCATTGAACAACTATCGCCGCCCAACATTTTTGTTGACGAAGTAGACAAAGCTTGCGCGCCATGGAGAGTTTCAGTCCTTCTAAATGGTCAACGAGTCGCTTTCAAAGCTGACTCTGGCGCTGATGTTAGCATTCTGACGCTGAAAACGTACAAGAAGCTGAAACTGCCGCCGCTTCAACATGCTTCAAATACTCTGACAAGTGTTTGTAGCGTGCTAAAAGTAGAAGGAAAGATGCACGGAACACTCCTGTTCAAGAACAAAGCCGAGACTGAAGTGTTCTACGTTGTTGACTCAGCTAATGATCTCCTCTCCAGGTCTGCTTGCTCGCGCCTGGGCGTACTGAGATCCACAGGTGAAGTCAACGAAGACGTCTTCGGAGAGGCAGGTCTCCTGAAGACAGCACCGGTCAGCATTCAGCTCCGTGAAGATGCTGTTCCATTCGCCCTTGCCACTGCAAGAAATATCCCGCTGCCACTGATGAAGCCGGTGGAAGAGGAGCTGAAGAAGATGGAGCATCACGGCATCATCACGTCGGAGACCGAGCCAACGGACTGGGTCTCTGCGCTGGTCCCCGTCCCGAAGCCGAAGAGCAGCGGTGTCCGCATCACGGTTGACTACAAGAGACTCAACCAGTCTGTGCAGCGACAGGTGTTCCCAATCCCTACTCTGGAGCAGCTGACCTCCAAGCTGAGTGGCGCGACGCCTTCACCAAGCTGGACGCCTCTTCCGGTTTCTACCAGATCCCGCTGGACGAGGCGAGCTCCAAGATGACCACGTTCACCACTCCGTTCGGCAGGAAGAGGTTCCTGCGACTGCCGATGGGGATCTCGCTCGCACCGGAGTGCTTCCAGCGGAAGATGGAGGAGATGCTGGACGGACTGCCCGGAATCATCGTCTACATGGACGACACCGTGGTGTTCGGAGATGCTGCCAGCCACGATGCACGTCTCGAGGCCGTCATCAGGAGGATCCACGAGTCTGGCCTCACGCTGAACAGGAAAAAGTGTGAGTTCCGGAAGAACGAGGTCAAGTTTTTGGGGATGAAGATCAGCAAGAACGGCATCAGCATGGACGAAGAGAAGCTCGAAGCGATCCAGCAGCTCCAACCACCAAAGAATGTCAATGAACTAAGGTCTCTGCTCGGAGTAATCAACTTCCTGGGCCGGTTCGTTCCACACATCCAGGAGTGCTTAAGACCACTGAACGAGCTTCTGAGGAAGAACGTAGCATGGATCTGGACACCACAGCAGCAGCAGGCGCTGGATGACGTGAAAGCAGCCGTCACTTCAGCTCCAGCTCTGGCGTTCTACGATCCAGCACGAGAGACGGTGGTCAGCGCCGACGCCAGCAGTTTCGGCATCGGAGGATGTGTTCTCCAGAAGCACGGCTCCGTCTTCAAACCCGTCGCGTTCTGCAGCAGAAGCCTGACTGACACAGAGACCAGATGGGCCCAGATTGAGAAGGAACTACTCTCCGCGACGTGGACGTGCGAGAAAATGCACATGTTCCTGTCCGGACTGCCGTCGTTCGAGCTGCATCTGGACCACAAGCCTCTGATCCCGCTGGTTAACACGAAAAATCTCGTGGATGCGCCGATCAGATGCCAGCGCATGCTCATGCGCTTGATGCGATACAACCCCACAGCGGTCTTCGTTCCAGGGAAGCAGCACCTGGTGCCCGACTTCCTCTCACGTCACCCGCTCCAGAAGCAGGATGAAATCAGCGCTGTGCTTCAAGAAGACATGCATGGATTCTGCGAGAGAATCTTCAGCGATCTTCCCGCCACACCACAGCGTCTGGTGGAGATCAGCAAGGCCCAGCAAGCAGACGAACCCCTACAACGCGTAGTTCAGCAGACTCTCTCTGGCTGGAAGGAGGGAGCGAAGCATCCCGACCTGCTGGACTACTTCACCTCTCGGGGAGAGATGAGCGTTCTGTACCTAACGTGTGGTACACTGCTGATGCACGGGCGACGCATCGTCATCCCTCCGAGTCTGCGAGATGAAATGCTCACCCGACTACATGATGACGGACACTTCGGTCTGAACAAGTGTCGCCAGAGGGCAGCAGAATCGATCTGGTGGCCTCAACTCAGCATCGACCTGAAGCGTCATCTCGAGAGCTGCTCGTTCTGTCAGGTGAACGCGCCAGCCCAGCACGCTGAGCCACTGGTGACAACCCCAACGCCATCAAGACCGTGGACGCACGTTGCAGCAGACGTCTTCCACTTCAACAACTGCAACTGGCTCGTCACGGTGGACATCTTCAGCAGGTATCTGGAGATACAACGCCTCCCGAGTCTCACCAGCAGCGCAGTCATCGAGCGTCTGAAGCGCCTGTTTTCCCGCTTGGGGATACCAGACCTCGTGACAACAGACGGAGGAACGCAGTTCACTTCAAGCTCGTCCGCCAACTTCACAGCGTCCTACGGCTTTACAAACCGCATCACAGGCCCGCACACGCCGTCTTCCAACGGAGCAGCTGAACGGGCCGTGAGAACCGCCAAGTGGATACTTCGCCAGAGGGACCCCCACCTCGCCCTCCTCAACTACCGCACGACGCCTGTGGAAGCAGCCGGATACTCCCCAGCCCGTCTCCTGATGGGACGCGAACTTCAATCTCGTCTCCCCATCGCTCAGCCAACCGGAGAAGCGACATGGCAGCATGCCAAACTCCGAGATCGGCAGAGGAAGAAGCTGGAGACGTGCTTCAACCGGAGACACGGTGCCCGCGATCTTCAGCAGCTACAGCCCGGGAATCATGTTCGGATCAAGACGGAGAAGGAAGCAAGCTGGTCCGAGCCAGCCACCGTCACAGAGAAGCTCTCTAGACGCAGCTACCTGCAACCGACGTCATCTGATGCAGATCCCTCCGTTTCAGGTGTTGACACAGCACGGTTCCATGCGGCGTGCTGACTGTTCTGCACACAGGGTGCCCGCTCCAGACCTCCTCTCTGGCCGCCATGCTGAGGTGGCGCCACCGGCGCTGCTGCAACCGCAGCCGCGCGAACCGGCGCCTGCACCACGATCGGTGGTACCACGGCCACCACCAGCTGTGCCGTCGCCCGCGTCGAAAGCGCCGCCGCTGACAGAAGCTGCGGCCCAGCCCTGCAACGCGCAAGTACCCCAGACACAAGGCCCAACGCCACTGCTTAGTTTCAGTCCGCGTAAAACACGCAGTGGCCGCGTTTTCTGAGAGACATCAAAGAGAAGCAGCAGAGAAGCAGCAGGAAAGCAGGTGGGAAGCAGCAGGAAAGCAGCAGAGAAGAAGCAGTCCGAGAAGCAGAAGGGAAGCAGCAGCCTCAGAAGCAGCATAGCAGCAGCAGGGAAGCAGCAGGGAAGCAGCAGTCTGTCGCCAATAATTTCGTTTCGCAAGCGTTTTTTTATATATTATACATTTATTTGCATTTCCTCAAGGGGGGGGGGGGGGGAAGATGTATCATGATGTTACTGGCGTGCGCCTGAGGCCGCCCCTGCTCGCGCCGCCAGTGCTGCTGCGCTTTGGTACGCCGCTGCCCCGAATGGCGGTGTACTGCCTGGGGCGCCACCCGCCGGAGTCGGCGCCGCCCGCTCGCTTCGCGGGTTAATACAGTTGCCGTCTCGCAGCGCTCGTGTCTGGTCTGGGTAGACAGAACACGTAGACTTGAATAAGTTCAAGTCCCATACAAACATGGAACACTCCCCTCAAGTAGGATATGAATATTTGGTCATGCCTCGAATGGGCCAAGGTAACTTGCGCTGGCCTGGCCCGACCAACGGCAGGGACTGTTAGTCTGAGTTCGAATCGATGCGCCAGTAAATCCTGCCTCATAGCACAGAAGTTATGGAAGCTGCCTGACCATTTGCAGTAGATGTGCCCCCCCCCCCCCCCCCCATCACTACAGACGCCACCCACCTTGGACGTGTCGTTGGCGCGGTCGGAGATGCGGCGCAGCTCGGGCCAGCGCTGCTGCAGCCGCTCCAGCATCTCAGCGTACGGCACCATCTTGCGGTCGTTCCAGCGGTTGCCGTCGAACGGCATGTACTCGATAAAGCGCACGTCCAGCCGGAACGTCTCCGTCAGCGCCACGAAGTCCTCCAGCTCCTCGTCGTTGACGCCGCGCATAACGACGCAGTTCAGCTGCGGCACAGTCGGCAGGTCAGGCGCGCGGAGTCAGGTCCCAGGGGGTCAGAGGTCACGGGACGGGGGCTACGGTTTATAGGGCGGCTGTGTTTCACTACAGGTGATGCTTGGAGGTTGCAATAGTTTGGAGGACAAAGAGCTCATTGGAGCTAGCTTAACGAGTTGGCGTACAAACAAACCGGTGTCTCCCATGATGCCACAAGCCACTAACAAGTGCTTCCTGCTGTGCCACGAATCCCTAACACGTTTTTTCACTGAGGACACCGAACAACACAGGCTAGAAGAAATAACCAGCATCACAAGTACCCTCACACCTAAGCACGCGCACGGACACCCACTCCACCATTACAGCACGCAGGCAGTGCCGACAGCACGCCGTCGGTGGGCCCGCTTGACAGGTCCTGCTCTGGCCTTCCGTCGCCTTCACACACCTTGACCGGGTCGTACCCCGCTGCCAACGCCGTCTGAATGCTCTGCCAAACGCGATGGAAGCCGCGCCGACGTGTGATCAGCTCGAACTTGGCCGGCACCAGGGTGTCCAGGCTGATGTTGATTGCGTCAAGACCGGCCGCCTGCAGCGCCGCCAGGCGGCGGTGCAGCACAACAGCGTTGGTCGTCATGGCGACCCACTGGATGCCGGGAATGGCTTTGAGGCCAGCTGGAATGTTTTGTGGATCCATTATTCATGGCGGCCGTGAGTCAACGCAAGACCTCAGGTTGCGGGAAACGTTATCCACTGCGTCATGAATGAATGTCCACCTTGTCACCTGCATGTATAATAACATGCTGGCACATGTGCTACACCTCCCGTCATATTCTAGCGTTGTCTTTCAATGGAACACAATAAGTTTTGTCAGGAACGCAATAAGTTTTGTCAATGTGTGAATACCACTGGCTGTCATAACGTTCTGCAAGTCGCTACATCACACCCATACTGGTGCAGCAAAATGGGGAGCCATTCGGTTGGATTGTACCGGACCATGAACACTTCATCCGCGGATGAAGCCTTTCCGCCACCATTCCCCTGCGACCAGAGCCCGCGCCAGGCACGCCCCCTCTGACCAGAGACGTCAGCACAGGCGATGACCATCCTGGCTGGTGTCTGCCCATCCCCCGACCAGAAAACCTGACCATCACACCACTGATGTCAGCTGCCCTGTACGCCCTGACAGCTTCGTCCGCCTCCGCTGGCGCCTCACCGATGACGTCTGCGAGGTCAGCGCGCACCAGAGGCTCGCCGCCCGTCAGCCGGACCTTGGTGACGCCGGCGGCGGCGAACAGGCCGGCCAGCCGCACGACCTCCTCAGCAGTGAGCAGGTGCGACTTGGGCGTCAGCGGCACGCCCTCCTCGGGCATGCAATACTGGCCTGCGCGCATGCGCATGCACGGCGTCACCGTCATGGGTGGTGGCGAGTGGCCGACAGTAGAAACTGATGTCGATTGTGGAAAATCATTTTCGTGGTTTGGCAAGTGCAGGCAGCACGTACTTGGCCGCAAAAAAGTGCAATATTAGTATCATGGCCAAGGCAACCCCTCAGGGTGTGTGCAGATAACTCACATCTGAGGTTGCAGCGCTCTGAGAGCGAGATACGCAGGTAGTCATGGAACCGGCCAAAGCTGTCCGTCAAGAAGTTGCTCAACGGTGCCAATTCTTGTGCCCGCAGGGCTTCCAGTCTGGCATGCTGGAATGGTGAAAGTCAGATGGTTATGAAGTGGTGGCTCAGGACAAATGCTTTCTGCCCTGCTTGGGGTTACCTTGGTGCAAAGGACATGAAGGGCTGTAATGCTAATGACCACAACTGAACCTGGTGTGGATAGCTCACTGCTTCCTCAGTGTTGTTATTAACTCCTCACAGACCAAGAAAAAAACACCTGAATGTGCCGATCAGCAGGAAGTGATAAAGTTTTCATGCTGCTCACACCAGCTATTTAACTTCAATTTAATGTGCCCAGGTGGTCAGTTAGACACCTTTTGCTCAGGTGGGGGTAAGTTTGACCTGCTGAGATCTCAAGAAATAAGAGAGCTAGAACCATGAAGTCGATAGGGTGTGTTGGCCTGTACATGAACTCACTTAGATCGGTTTGAGATTCCTAGGTCATGACCTTCAGGTAAAATAAGGTCCAACAGTGTGAAACTTCAATTTAGTCTCTGGAGTGTCCCCAGAACCTAGATACCTGTCCTAAGCAAAAGGTCATATGCTCATTTAAGGTCAATGACCTTGTTTGACATTTCACAGGTCATCATGACCAAAATCATAACAGACTGCTTTGAGCTTTGCATTTGAATAGGCGACAAAGATTGCACTATGCAGTGTATTACTAAAAATGAAATGTTGGCTGTGTCATTTTGGGCTAGTGATCTATTCTGACCTTTAAAAAACCCATGGAAGGTGTATAATGCAGCTCCTGTTATCACAAATTTGCAATGAGCACCAAACACTACCCTATTCATCAGACCACAGATCAATGAAGCTGGTTATTTTGGACTCTTATTATTATATTGGACTCTATTGGACTCTATTGGACTCCATTATTATATTGGCCATATATTGGACTGTATATTATTAAGCTGGTTATTTTGGATTTTGACTAGTTTTCTCTCCTTCAATACCACAAAGGAATGAACAAAAATAGGAATTAGCTCCAAGGCATAAAACCACTGGTTCAAGATCTGGCAATGACCAAACATTAGATGATTAGATGTACCATTGAACAAATTACACCTGATACAACCTGAAAGCTGTAATTTTTAAGTTGTTAAGTCATAATACATGCATACTAAAATTTCACATCATAACATGCTTAATGGATGCACCAAACACCATTTTCAGACTTATTATTAAGTGACTTATTTGATGAAACACACCATAAATGCATGCATAACAAATTATGCAAGACAATAATAAAACACCATAATTTTCATTCAAGTATAGCATTATATTTAGGCAAAGTAAACAGCAATACAGCTAATGTACTGGAACAACATGCATCCCAAACATGCCAAAACCAATTGCAGTCTAAACATAAACCATAAGCTGCCTTAACTTACCTTTTTAGGTTCTTTGATCCTGGATGCATCACCTGCCATGCCCCTCATGCCTAGTGGAACATGAGCTGAGGGGGCCTGATTCAGGCATGATCTCACAAAGAGCTTATGACTTGACAAAATTTGCACCCTCATATTAAACTCTGTAAGCAATCAGTAGTATAAACCTTTAATACACACATAAAACACCTCAATTGTTTTTCTAAGGCATTGGGGGCTTAACACATGTACAGTATACAATGGCTTGGCAGGTGCAAGAATATTAAGTTCTTGCATACAACTGCTCATTCATAAATGGGCTGGGCATGGTTATGCAACCCTCACTCTGATGAGGCTTTGTGCATATTCAGAACTGATGGGGAGGGGTAGGCACCTGCTGCACTGCCCTGTACATCATGTGTGCAATCCTATGTGTATCATATTAATCATCATATTTGTGCCATCCAATGCACAAAAGCAGTCATATCATGATGCAGTACATCTAACAGCATGTTCACTGAGTTGTTTGCATTTGATACATGTCTCCCTCCACTGTTCTTCATTATCATTTCCAGGCCATCCAATGGTTCAAGGGGACACTAGGCAGCAACATTTCTTCAGCCAAAATTTTGGCAAATTTGAGCAATTTAAGACAGCTGAATCAATTGTGCATTAGTCTGTCTGACCACCATGCACATCACTGCTTCTGGTTCACTGCAAATGTCACTAAAAATTATAATGGTTGTTAATCACTTGATGTCAACCTATATTACCTACAATGTCATGCCATGATTTATGGTAAGATAACCTTACCAACACATTGCACGATACACTCTCATTTCATGTGAGACGTCCATAATTCACAACACTTGCCTCCAGCGCTCGTCCCCTTCACTTGTCACCACGGACACCCATCGACCATATAGGTGCCAAAGCGGCTCGACGCCCAAGGTTACCTCCTTTCTGATGCGCAGTGCTGCTGTTGCTAGCCAGGCATGCTGGGGAGTGAGTACCAGCATTCAACGAGTTGCTTGGCAAGGTATGAAATTTTTCGGCATTGTAAACAAATGCCATCAGTCCATGTCGGTCTGATACATCTCTGGTGCCCAATCCGCCTCATGATCACAATTTTCTGTGCCAATTGGGGGGATTATCGCAGCACCTAACGTGTGTAACCCCTAATGTATCACCACACTTAATGTTCAAAACACCTAATGTATCACAAGGCCTAATGTTCATAATCTCTAATATATCACAACCCCTAATCTATCATAGCCACTAACATTTGTAACTCCTAATAAATCATAAGGCCTAATGTTCAAAAACCCTAATATATCATATGTCACTACACCTAATATGTCACTACACCTAATGTATCATTGGGCTTGGGGAACCAAAGCAAGCCACCTAGTGTTTCACAACTCCTAATGTATTGCAACTCCTAATATATCACAGCACCTAATGTATCAGAACACTTAGTGTATCCCCCTGCAACCCATCGTCCCATTGGCGTTGAGGATCAAAATTTCATGGATTCTTGTTACCTCGGCCAGGTACATTTTTATGGTTCTTGATGCTGCTTGATGCGCAGTAATGTTGTGGCTGCACGCAGTAACGGCGCCGGTATCGCGGGTGCTGTGTGTGTGCGGCGCTTGGGAGCTCACCATCGTAATTATAAAAATTTGAAGGTAAGAGCATGAATCTACCTGTTTTGTGATTATTTACAATATGTCCTGCCCTAAACATGATGAATGGTGTATAATGATTTTTTCTAACAGTAGGTAGGAAAGTACACCCTGACCCTCGCCTAGGCTTTTGTAACCTAGGTGTACTTATTGGAAACAAGTGTGAAGTTCCCTATTCAGTTGGCTAGGATGCCAACCCCTCCCCAACTTTGAGAAAAAGGAACTTTATTAAAATCAGGGAGAACATGGTTTGCTCCATTTCAGGGGGATGAAAGATTTCTCTGCTCACCCTATCCACTAAATTATGTACAACATTACACCGCCTGACGTCAGGCTGCTGGGTAATCGGGGCTCGGATGCCAACGCACCAGGGGCGGAGGAATTGTTTCACCCTCACATAGCAATCCAGTCGCATAAGGTTAGCATCACTACATCTACTCACCGACGTCGAGTCTAATACAATGCTTTTCACAGTGTATAATTCTGAACTAAATTTATATATTGCCTTTATCTACACCACAAACCAACCACGCCACCCCCGCTCCTCGCGCGGCCTCACGTTAGATGACTTGGCCCCAAGGCTCTTGGCCCTTCCAAACAAGGTCGTTAGGCTACATAAATGGCGCGCACGCAAGGGCAGTCCTCAATGACAGAGCCGCTGTAGGTTATTTATCGGCTTTGTTATTGCTGCTTAGGACCGTAGTGATTTTGTAAAAAAATATTGGTTGGCAAAATCCGGCTGAAACAAAAGTTAAATCTCAAAAAAGTGAATGATGATATAAATACACCAGCAGAAGTTCTGCTCAACGGAGAACAAGAAGCCTTGCTTTAGCTTCATACTCAGATCATGATTCTGTGAGGACGCTCCGTAGATCGATGGAAAAAAAATTCATACTTTTGTTCGATGACCCTTTTATGCATGTTCGTCACGTATTCAGCTCGGATTTCTTGATGGAAAATACGCCCTCTCTCCGATGCTAACGCCTCCCCAAGAGCCAGAGACTCGCGGAGCGTAGACCTATCTTTTATATGTCAATGTCGCGGAGCCTTAGTTTTCCACGTGCCCGATTGAGTGTTTGGGATGATGTTTAACGTCACCATTACATGTGATAAGTTCCATACAATATACATTTTTTATAGCTTCCAATAAAATTTCAACAAACATACCATCAAAAAAAGAACGAAAATAACTCATTCATTAATTCACCTTTTTAGAGGTACATGTAACGTTACGTCACATACTTTCGCATTAATTTGTCTTGTGTTACAGTGATTTCTACGTATAATCCAGAAACGTTGAATCGTGCCGTGTGCGAGATATTCTCCGCGCTTCTCGCCGGTACGTCGAGAGACGATGTTGTTTTGGGCGCGGGATTGGCCAGGTCGCCCGGTGTGTGAGCGCGTTGGTGTCGTTGGACTGTAGGTGAGTTAAACATGTGCTGGTGAGCAGCAACAGACCTGGACACTGAATGCATTGCAAGGAAAGCTTATGTGTGTTATGGTAGAGAGATTCGGCTGTAACCCGCAGGCAGTATCCCTCGTTCAGTCGTGACGTGAGTGTGGCGCGCGCTCTTTAAATTCTAACACCCGGGAAGCAAATTCATGTGACCGAAACCCGGGGAAAAATCAGGTCTCTGGAGCACACCACCTCAACGTTTTCAGCTGATCCCTTAACCGATTTTTGAAACTGACATGCTCAGCGTCTTACACGGCTAGGGCTCGCCCGCCTCGTACAATACGGGAAGTCAAGGCCATGCAATAAGGTATGATCATCCGGGGATTCTCCCGGCACATTCCCTTCACTATTACAGTGACGTCACAAAGTTGCGGCCGGGCATCACCGCTCCGCGTGCATTATCTTCGCATTTGCTATACCGGTGCACGCACTAACCAGTGCGTCTGGTGACCGCCACAGGGCGCTTCAAGAGGTTCTATGAGGAAATATGAAAGGGAGATTCTGTTGCCACGATGGGTGTATAACAGCGAACATAGGCCTGGGAACCGGGAGACTGTGCGCCATGACACTTCCACTTGCTGAGGATGCTAAATATTGAGTCTACGGCGATGTATTTAAGTTGGCCAGCCTACAACTGCTTAAATGCAGGCTGGCGAGCCTGCCCAAGGGGGAACTGACCGGCACCAGGATCATCATCCGAACTGTCGCGCTGAACCTCAACATTATACATCATGACGCGCCGGGCTGCACTGGTGTGTGATGGAGGCTGTTTGGGACGACTGAAGAAGTGTGCCGCGTAGTAGAACATAGGACATCGTGGACATTGCACATTGCACGTTGCATCAACTATGACACGAATCCTCCGAAGGTCGTCGAGCGTGGCGTTAATCAAGAAAATATCCGTCACGTCATGCGGCCAGTTCACCGAACACACGTAAGACTCATAATTCACCGTATTTTTCTAAAACGATTCTTGCGCCCAGCGTACACTTAATTGTGCACATTTTGCGAGGACACAAAGCAAACAGGGAGGGGGGGGGGGGGCAGAGAACACAAGTATATGTTTTTCAGCTTAAATCTAGAGTTATGCGGCATGATAACCAGTCTGAAACAACCCAAACGTTCATCTGCGAAGGAACCGTCTATGCCTCAGACAGACTGGCATGGAAGACAAAGAAGGCATGAGGATGCTCACTTAAGGTCACTTACGTATACTCACATAAGCACAACGACGTTCACTTAACGCTGTCCACCGATGTTAACGCGCACCGGTTTGGCTGCGCGCCTGGCAGCAGCCCGCTCAGCCCCAGCCTGATTAAGCCATCCGAGGCGCAGATGGATGTCCGTCGTCGCCAGCCTCCGAGCGATCCGCTTGTCCAGCGCGGAGCTTTCTCAGCAGGAGCTTCGTGAGGCGGTCGACGATACCAATGACTCGGTCCATGCCTCGGCCCATCACTGGCTGGAACACGATCTCGAAGGCCTCGACAACGCTCGTCCAGGCCGGTAACGGTGCCATCAGACCACCTTGGCTAATCGCGTGTATCCAGCTGTCTGGCACACGGCTGGGTGGTGCTTCTCGGGTCGACAGCCCATACTTGGATCAAGATGCTTGCACTTGGGCGCCACGAAGCCGGCAACGATGGTCAGCGCCCTGTGCTCGGTGTTGACCTCGTCCATCCCGTCGCCGTCGTGGGGGCCATTTTTGGTCCTCTCGCCATGGAGCTTGTCTTCGCCCGACTCGTTGACCCCGTCGTCCTCGCCGAATTCGTTCAGGACGAGCACTGGACGCCTCGCGGCTGTTTGCTGGTAGGTGGCCTCCACGTCATCCGCGTGCCCTGCCATGTCCACCACAGCTTGATCTTAGATCTGCGACACAACAAAGCAGTCATTTCCATGTACCTGACAGGCGCACTTGTTAAACCCATGCGCACCAATCAAACCCTTTTACAAGTCACCTGTATTGTTTTTCATTGCGACAGCAAAACGTGTTGGACACGGGCATGCCCTTTCTTTCGTTGTCGCATGTTTTTTTTTTTAAACACAGACACATTTTTGTGGTTCAGCGTGACATAATCCGAGCGGGTAAGAGGGACGGTCAATGGCCGGCGGGCACTGCACTGCGTGCACCATTCTGATATCTACCGTTCCTGGCCGTAACCACGGATTTGTCTGGATGGCCCCGTTTCATGGTCCCATTTCAGTGCATCGGCTGCCCCAAGGGGGGGGGGGCGCGTCGTCACCACTGTTTTCCGACGCAAAAATCACGAGAACGGCGCGGCCCCCCGAGCCCCCCCCCCCCCCCCCCACTCCATTCGTCTCTGCTCGTGAGGTTGAAGATCTATGGTATAGGCACAGCAGCAGTTTTTTTACCACGATATTACTGTATGTAATCCCGAACTTTGGTGACCAGGCAAAAAGCTTTGTTTGAAATCTCAGACACCAGCATGGACAGTGGCACGAAGAGTCCAAAAGTGGTTCATTAGTAGCAATACTCGCACATAGGTGGGCGAACATGTACGTCACGTAGTTGAAAGAACTGTTTAATGCACCAGGGCAGACCAATATTGAAAGCTCTTGATGCGCTAGGTACTGTGCCTATTAGCGGTTGTGGGGTTTGTTAGTTCACAGTGCATATATGTGTTGTCAATGGGGCTGGGACTCGCTCGTGCAAACTTGCCCTCCCCCCGTCGCAAACTCTGCCTACGCTCCTGACACTCACCCCCTTCGCCCGTGTAGCATAGATGGCTGTGCCACTTGTGTGGTAATCAGGCCCTACTTTGTAAACAAGATTATGGTTGGAAAGCCTCGTTTGAATCTCGTATTGTAGTCTACAAATTGCACAGAGCGGTATAGATTGTGTATGCATTTGACTTCGAATGGGGTTGAAAGATTTCTGCATAAGACAGACCGTAATTTTCCTTTTAAGCACAGGCATACTCACCTCGGCGTGCCGGCGATGTCCAGTTGCATAGAACGAACTGCACTTGGTCGAAGGCATGGTTTGACATTGGGTGTGGGACTGGTCTTAACCAGATGGCCAGGATCAGTCATGATCTTGAAAATGATCAGATCAGATTACCGCACTCTCCACATGTACCCAGTCACGTACCAAAATATCTGTTACAAAGTTACAAATTTTCATGGATTCTTTCAAAAACACTTTCACACAACTAACAAATTGTGGCATCATTGCCACTGAGTGCAGCATTGCTCCGCATTGTACATTCAGCTAGTTTTTCTTTTCTTAAAAATGATCCCGAGGATTTGGAATTGCCTCAGCGTGGTGTTCAGACAAAAAGTCGACTCGCCATCAGGGGCCTTCTTATGTTTTCGGAGGTGGGGGGGGGGGGGGGTTGAGCCCTGACGCTGACTTGAGCCCCCTACGCTGCTCTGAGCCCCTCAGCGCATACGAACCAAGAGGGAATACTGGGCCAAATAAATGCAGAACACTCATCTTAACTTTTTCATATTCTGGATATTAGGTGCCTAGTCACCACACTATTATAGTAGCGTGGTGCTTACATGGTACTAATTAGTATCACATGTTAATTCTGCACCAGCATAAAACACCAACATACAGGGACTATAGTATCCTGTATGTATTTAAGTCGTGAGCCATTAGGCGCCTCTGTGCTCTTGTAAGCCTGTGCGCGAGAACTTGCGTGGTCATCGTAATATGCAATGAAACGTAGCGGGGGCGTCCCCACGAGATCAGCGGTCGCCCGGCAGCGCCCCTCGGCGTATGTAAGCTGGCACATACTGCGTGTCAGCAGACGAGGTCAGACCACGACCAGGGTCGCGGCTCTGTCTTGCATGCGACAGCGCGGTCGAGTCCGACCATCGTGTGGCCGAATAGAGGTAACCGTCTGTACTGCGGCTTTCGATAGACGGTGAGAAGAAGAGCGCTGAATCACAAGCTGAAGCTACACAGCATTCAGCGGTCCCCCCGGTCCGCAGGGCCGGGCACTCCAGTGCCAGCAAGAGAGCCCCGTGCGCTGGTCAGTGGCTCCCTGAGTCCGTGAGGACCTGTAGGCTGGTCAGACACCACCAGTAACGCACAGTCGGCTCTGTGGCGGCATGAGCCGGAAGGTTCATTT